GGTGGGTGCCAGGAACTTTAATGCCAGATTAGTGGGACCCAAATAGACCTCCAGGAACCAAATTCAATGCAATCACACAAGAGTCTTTATTGCAAGCTTGAACCTGGACTCACAACTGTTTCTGATGCAGTGGTCCTGAGGAGTGAGTTCTGGTCCTTTGTTTAGTGAGACTTTATAGGTTTTGGGGGAATACCCCAAAGAGGGTTACAGATAACAAAACTCTGATGAGCATAACACAAATGCTAGTTTATATTTTTTGCTGGCCCCAACATCAGAATTTATGAAGTTCAGTAGAGCCTCAGAGAAGGTCATTATCTGGCCAGGGAAGGCCAAGATTTATGAGTTGTCACTAAAGTTTCAGAGAGGGCTCCTATCTGATAAGGGAAAGCCAGGCATGGGTGAGTTCAAGGCACAGGCAGGCATTCCAAGCAAGTTCAGAATTTGCAGTAATTTATAGTAAAGCCAAAATTAGCTTTTTTGTGTCTTTGTGGCGAGATGGCTCCCAATTTTAAGAGGGAATCAGGCTGGGTTTATCAATTTGCAAACAAACATCTCAGCAGGGTGGCTGTGTGCCTAGGAGTGCTCTGTGGGTTTTTCCAAGGACAAGGTCATGCCCCCTCCCTCTAGACAGGCCTTGAGGTAGAAGCTGTTTTCAAAAATGGAGTCATATCAGTTTCTCAGAGCCAGTAGGTGCCAGACCAGCTGACTGGACTTAAGGAGAGCCAAGGGCCCTCATACCCACCTTCCCAACCTCCCAACCCACTACAGCTGGCTCCATCAGCCACTGTGAGCCATAGGACTCTCAGGGCTGGGTAGAGCCTTGTTCTCTCCAACCTCTTCAACCTTTCCACAGGTTTTCTAGACCCAGTCAAGTCCTTGCTTGTCTTAGACAGGCCCAAAGGGACTTATCCACGAACTCATAGATCTGGGTTTCCAGTTCCTGTTGGGGCCATGGTGCTGCCATCTCAAGATTCTTCCTGGATTAGCTTTCCACAGACAATTGATAAATTCAAGGAAACTTTTTTTATCCATTGAATGAGTCAAACAGTTTGGTTTGACTGACCCAGTCTCAGGATTTTTTACTCTAAGCCTCCAGAAGAAGGAATATTCCTGCTGCTTGAGTCCTGGGTAGCTGAGTTAGGAGAAATACTGCCTCACCCTAATCTACCATCTTGCCCCCTCCAACTACAGAATTTTTGAGATCTCCTGATAGGTTAAGGTTTACCATGAATAAATTAAGAAGGAGAACCCAGCAGGTCAGAGTTTAGGAAATGCTACACAATACTATGATAATAAATGTCATATGTATACAGTATTTCATTTACAGATGAAATATAACCAAAACAAAACATGCATGACTTTCACCCATTCATTCACTTAAAAGTCTTAAATGTATCATACGGCTCAAAGGTCCTATGAGCCAGTTCACATTGTTCATTCTCAACGTGTCATTCTACTATCAACATATCAAAAAAGACTTATTCCATAGCAGGGCCACTAATGTTTGACTTTGTTAGGCTCATGATAGCAAATGCTCCCCGCTGCCTTAGAAAAACTATACAATTATAGATGAACAAAATGATCTGCTGGTGATCTTATGTCAATTTTGGAAACACCAATGTGGGTATTCTTAAACTAAAATGACTTTGTATGTAAAAGTACTAATTAAAAACTCTTTAGGGAAAAATATACTTCAGTATTACATGCATCTAAGCAATTTAAAGGAAAGTGTCCACACAACACTCAGAGTGACCAAGGGATCTTTATTGCAGTGG